TTAGCCTCTTCTGCATGTCCAGATCATTAATAGTAACAATCAACTGATTCTTATGTATTACACTTTCAAAAATAATTGATGCTGACATGGTTTGAAATCAATATATTATCCAATGTGTGACCCCCCACAGGACTTAAAAAGCACCTAACTAGATCATGAAAATCCCAAAAATCTTGGGGGGTATCCCCCGAACCCCCCTAACATATTTGGACCTCGGTATTTAGGAAATTGATACGGCTCTGCTGTGACAGACCATGGGGCTGGATCAGCCACTAACATATTCATATTTCACTTCTCAAAAAGAGAAATATGAACGTTAGTTTTTAACTGAAATTATCAAATAAAGTCAACATTTCACAGTGTTTACAAACATTGACCATACCGTTCACCAGCCCCCACCCCCCTATGTTGCCTATGTTGCAAACTCTTTGTTTAAAACTAATTGGCCATCGGAATGTGTGGAGGATGGTCACATTCCGATGGGCTATCGGAATTACTGTGATCTCCCAACCTCTCTTCTCCAGCAGTCTGTAACAATGAACAAGACTTAACGTAGTAATAATAATTAATTATATTTATTCAGTTTGGATGTACGATTTTTGACTTTGTTTAGAGCAGTGATCTTCTCTTCCTCTCTGCAGCAGAGAGCTAAGCGCTGTCAGACCGGACCTAACCCTAACCCTGAAAAGTATTATCACCTGAAAGTAAAATTAATCATTATGTTATTAGTATTAAATACAAATAAGTATTTTTACAACTTGTATTTAGAAATACTCCGTTGTAATTATTTATGCATAAATGTGTTCATCCATTCAATGTGGCATCTGCTATAATGGGGTTAACGTATGGTATTACTTAATAATACAATACATTATAATATATGATATGATTATTACGTTTTAATTGTATTCATTTCTTATTTCATAGTTTCTCATTATTATTTTTATCACTGATCTTATTTTTGATTTTATTAATCTGTGTGAATCTGTGCTATCCTGTTTTTCACTCTCACCCTGTTGCTGTTTGAACTACTGAATAAAGGTCCATCTCATCTTCTCTTATCTTAATGTATACATTGATTTACTTCGATCTACTGTACTGTGTAAAAACACCACAACAATATTACAAAAAATATACTGCATAAAGCAAACTATTGTATTGTATTGTACTAATATTATGATTATTTAATATATAAAGACTATATATTATTGAATTACAATTAAGATAATAAGATTAGATATACTTTATTTGATCTAAAATATTGTTTTTTGTTTTGTTATAGTAGCCTGTGAAAACCATAACAAATAAGTGATTAAATGTTCTTCAGCAAACACAACTGCAGAGCTGCAAACGTTGCAAACAGACTAAGTTCTACTGTACTGTATTTGTGAATGAAGCGCCATCTCATGGTTAAATCCTGTAATTGAACAAATGGGAAAATTTGGCAACGCCCTCTAGCAATTTGGCAACGCCCCCAGCCACTGGGATCCGCTGGGTTTTTGGTTGGGACACACCCATTGGAGTCCTATCTGGAGTGCTACATCTGTATGTGACTATCGCACAATAGGGGGCGCTACTGAGCTGGTGTACAAAAGCGTACACATTTTTTGTACAGTCTGGAAAAGGTCATGGGCTGTGACGTGTGTTCCAAGTTTTGCGTCCGTAGCTCATTTTAGCGATTTTGTGACCTCGTCAAAAATGGTACATTCTCCGTTACGAGCTCCCCGTTTGAGCAGTCAACTATTCATTCGCAATTTAGCATCACATTGGATATGGGCTGATCTTGTCGTGGTTTGGAATTTTTCCGATCATTTCCCTAGGAGAAGTGTGCGAAAACGCGCTTAAAACGCACATTTTTCAAAATGGCAGATTTTATGAGGCGGGGATAATGGAAGCCATTTTGAAATATGTCCGCAATTCCATGAGGAATGTCTGTGCCAAGTTTCGGGTAGTTCGGAGAAACTATATGTGACTACCGCACAATAGGGGGCGCTACTGAGCCGTATTTGCTAAAACGTATGATTTTTTTGTACAGTCTGGAAAAGGTTGTGGGCTGTCACGTGTGTCCCGAGTTTAAAGGCCGTAACTCATTTTATCACAAAGTTATGTGTCCGTAAGTGTTTTTAACCCTTCGATTTCGAGAAAAAACTGAATAGGACACGCCCACATTAATCATTGGTTGCGACACTTTAAATCTCGCCAGTATATCTACAGTATGACAAAATATATTTATTTCGTCCATCCGTTCTTGAGGTATACATTTGTTGTGTTTTTGGCGCCCCCTATTGTCCAAAATGAACATGATTTTGTGTGCCTATTCCCCAAGACAGATTGAACCTATCCACCGAAATCTGTGATATTTGGATACATTTCGGATGAATTGTGAGCATTTATGTCTAGGCCACACCTTTTTGCTAATACGTTTCGATTGATGTCGGCCACATTTTTCCACACCTCGTGCTCATTTTCTACGGTAATGTGTTTGACCCTCCGATGCTGTACACTAAGTTTGGTGTTGAAAATAAAAAAAAGGAAATTTAAGTTAATATTTCACTGGTTTTCACATTATGCTAATTTGGAGAAAAAAAAGAAAGTAGGCAGAGCTTCGGGATACGAGAGGATAATATGTAGAGCAGCTCCACCCGGATAAGTGTGCCAAATTTCAGGTCCGTCAGACTTACGCTGCGACTATGTACATTTTTCGTAAACTGAATTTTCACAGGTGGCGCTATGTTGGCGCTATGTTGGCGCTATGTTGGCGCTATGTTGGCGCTATGTTGGCGCTATGTTGGCGCTATGTTGGCGCTATGTTGGCGCATGTTGGAAATTTTGCACCCATCAACTCCGGAATGTAACATTTTTCACCCGTCCTGGCGGCATTGCCAAATGTCGCTACATGAATAGTGTCGTAACCCCCTCAAAAACAGGTCCAATCCCCAGACTATGAAGAATTATAATAATAATTATATGCATTACAATAGGTCTTCGCACACTTCGTGCTCAGGCCCTAATTATGTTATAAATAATTATTTTTGCAGTGATTTGGACCAAACAATACATGTGGCTGGGGGATTTATGCATTTAGTCTTTTTAGCCCACATCTTTCCATTGCTCCTGTAATGTGCTTTTGGAGGTGGGGCGTTCCCTCCATGCGCCTCTTTATACACAATATAGACAAAAGTATTTGGCCACCTACACATTACACCTACAGGAGCTTTTATGACATCCCATTCCAAATTCTCAGGCATTAATTTGAAGTTGGTCCCACCTTTTGCAGTTATAACAGCTTCCACTCTTCTGGGAAGGCTTTCCCTGTGGGAATGTTTGCACATTCATCCAGAAGAGCATTTGTGAGGTCAGACACTGATATTGGACGAGAGGGCCCGTTCTAGTTCATCCCAAAGGTGTTCAATGGGGTTGAGGTCAGGGCTCTATGCGGGCCAGTCAAGTTCTTCCACACCAAATTCATCCAACCATTCCTTTATAGACCTTGCTTTGTGGGGCACAGTCATGCTGGAACAGAAAAAGGCCTTCCCCAAACTGTTTCCACAAGGTTCGAAGCCTAGAATTATCCAAAATGACTTGGTAAAACTGGAGTGGCCTAGGCCAACCCCAGAAAAACTACCCCATAGCATTATCCCTCCTCCACCAAATTTTACAGTTGGCACAATGCAGTCAGGCAGGTAACGTTCTCCTGGCATTCACCAAACCCAGACTTGTCTATCAAACTTCCAGATAGAGAAGCGTGATTGGTCACTCCACAGAACACGTTTCCACTGCTCCAGAGTCCAGTGGAGGCGTGCTTTACACCACTCCATCCAACGCTTGGCATTGTGCTTGGTGATGTAAGGCTTGATGCAGCTACTCGGCCATGAAAACCCATGAAGTTCCCACAGTTTTGGTGCTGATATTAGTATATATATTAATGCCAGAGCTGGTTTGGAACTCTGCAGTTATTGAGTCAGCAGAGCTTTGGCCACTTTTATGCACTACGCGCCTCAGCCACATAGCTCACCATGGTCATGTTGCCACTGAATCCAGATTCTGAGCTATGCTTCTCCCTCAATTTGGATGGCTTCATGACAGGTGGTATGTCCGGCTTGTTCTGGCGAAGAGTCCCAACAATGGTCAGGTTCTTCTCAAGGAGCTTCTCAGCCAGAAGGATACTGGTGAAGAAGTTGTCCATTGTGATATATAATAATATTGTACACTAGCAGCATTTGGCCAGTTCCTCCTGTGTAATTTGACATAAAATGAACTCTCTTCCTCACTAGTAATGGATGACAAGGTCAGGTAATGTTCAAATATTATGTACAGTTATCTTTCACAAGATATCAAATATCTCCTTAGGTAAAAGAAGTGTAAAATTAGACTTGGCGTGGGAAAAGTTGACCACGGTTAACATGTTCCTAACTGCAATCGTTTACAAATAAAAGCTTCCTATCAAATTCCAGAGTGAATACATGTTTGGTCCAAATCACTGCTAAAATTATTATTTATAACGAAAGTATTATTATAATATGTATTTTTTTCATTTTTATCACACTTGCATACATGGGTCATTTTTTACCCATGTATGTAAACCTGATGTAGAAATACAAAACCAGTTTTAGTTCCTAAATTAAGAAAGGGAGAATGAAAAAATATAGCTAAGAAACACATTTAAGGTCAATACGGGTCATTTTTTACCCATGTTGTCCCTTAGAAGGGTAGTGATACAAAAATGATTTTTATTCAAAAATTAAGAAAGGAAACCTGAAAGTAAGAAGCTGTGATGATCATAAACAAGTTAATTGAGGAATACCTGGCATTTTGAATTGTTAAAGTAATTTGTTGCAAAGATATTTACAATTAAAACTCACTCGGGTCACTTTTGACCCATGTTGTGCATCAAAGGGTGCAGAAGAAAAAAACACACTGATTCGGATGAGTAACTCTCTTAATTAGTATCTCAAAAAATGTAACCACAATTAAATTGACTCAGTTGTGTTTGCTTGCAGATTTTTGGGGATTTGAAGGACGACCGCATGGCCATGGGTTTCAGGAAAGCTCTGAACAAGAAAGAAGGCATCCTGGCCATCGGGGGCACCAGCGAGATCTCTAGTGAAGGAACTCAGCACTCAATCTCTGGTTAGTAAAGCTACACTTAAACTAATAGAATGATATGTTAGTGTACTCTGTCCAATATCATGACAGAAGGGATCTGACTCTTAACTGAACTGTATTTCAGAGCAGGAACGCTACGCCTTCGCCAACTACATCAACTCTTCTCTGGCGGAAGATCCTGACTGTAACCACGTCCTGCCCATCAACCCAGAGACTGAAGCTCTGTTCAAAGCAGTGTCAGATGGCGTCATACTCTGGTAAACCTTAAAGGGGACCTATCATGCAAAATGCACCTTTGTACGTCTTTTATACATGAATATGTGTCCCCGGTGTGTCAGGGAACTCACCAAGTGTCAGAAAACACAACCCTCTCTCTTTTCTTCCATACCCCAAATCTCTAAAAACGGGGCTGCAACGGATCTGATACAGACTGATACAGATTTGAAAATAGTCTGACGTCAGTGACTAGGAGCTCCGCCTATATGGGCAACTCTCCACCAATCAGGGGAATGAGAGGTTGCCATGGCATGGTAACAGCATGGTAACATGACGCTCTTAACTCGGCCCCCTCCTTTGCAGGGGGGCGTGTTCAGCAGCAGTGCATGCAAAGACAGGGGTGGAGGAGAGCAAAATAGAGTGAAATGAGGCATGGCTAAAATGCATGATCTGTTTGGTATTTTGAAAAAGAAAACGTATAAATATACCGTATATAGGTATGGCCCTACAATATATTATTCAAATATAGCATGATAGCTCTCCTTTAAGAAGTCCCTGCCCAAACCCTATCAATAACACTAACGCATCACTTTCGTATTACTTGTTGTGATCCATCCTTTAAAAAAAGTGTATTCTTAATCGACGGGGCCTTGTCCGTTACCTTTACCCACTTTTCAGTCTGATTTTGAGGCTTTGTACCAGACTATTATGCTCATATGTTTTTCTCTCATGTTGTTTTTGCAGTAAACTCATCAACCTCTCTGTTGCTGACACCATTGATGAGAGAACCATCAACAAGAAGAAACTCACAGCTTTCACCACACAGGTTAGTTAGTTGCTTAACTAGATTTTCCACTGCTTATGTTGTTTTTAGTGTGATTTAACTTCATTGCATGTATCTTTGAAAACTATTCAACTATCAAATGTGGGATACAGTAGCATATTGTGGCTGTTAAAAGATATAGAACAAGGAAGGCAATTTTCAAATCATTTATTTAACGGTGATGCCACCTTTATGTCTAAAACTACATCACTGATTTTACATTACTTCCATGAATGTGACACATATTTTGGCGTCTGTCGTCCATCAGGAGAATCTGAACCTGGCTTTGAATTCCGCCTCGGCCATCGGCTGCCAAGTAGTGAACATCGGAGCTCAGGATCTGAAGGAGGGGAAACCTCACCTGGTGCTCGGACTGCTCTGGCAGATTATCAAGATCGGACTGTTCGCTGATATAGAGCTGAGCCGCAACGAAGGTGTGTACAAACACACACAGTCACACTAGCCTGTTGACACAAAGCTAAAAGTAATGTGCCAAAACAGAAAAACTGCAAATGACAAAATCAGTCAACATGAAACATTTGTGGCATTAAATTCAAAACTTACAACAAAGAAATGTTAATTATTGGCATAGAGTGTTAACCAGACCCATGCTTGTTTTTCCATGTGCAGCGATAGCGGCGCTGTTGGAGGAAGGGGAGAGTCTGGAGGACTTGATGAAGCTCAGTCCTGAGGAGCTGCTGCTGCGCTGGGCCAACTTCCACCTAAAGAAAGTCGGAATGTCCATATCCAACTTTTCCGGAGATATTAAGGTAAGGAAATGTCTGAACCTCTCACCAAGCCTGGTGCAGGAATGAGTCCTTAAAACCTGGACATTTGTTGGCACTTTAGCACTTCAAGTTACCTTGTTTCAGAGTAAATAGGTTTGTTTGAGATGAGCTGCGGCTCGCCTCGAAAGTAGACAAGAATAGCCGATTGCAGCCGGGGGAGGTCTCAAAAGCTTGCCTGTAGTCGGACAGCTCGGAGTCGGCTTGACTCGGTTTGCATTTATAAAGAATGCACAAATGTGTTTAATCGTTAATGTCAGATATGTACTAAGTAAATACATTTGTTCCTGCTCAAGATTAGATTCAACTTTATTGTTATTGCACAGATTACAGGTACTGAGACAACGAAATGCAGTCGGACAAAGTAGGCTCGTTTGAGATGAGCGAGACCGACGCAGACCTGCGCAATTGCGACCGCCGTCTTGCTAGTGCGTTGCATGATGGTTAGCAATTTTATCCGACTTGCTCTGGAGGCTCGCCCACATGAGACGCTGAAATCTCACGGGACAAAGACGCCCGCAGCCTTGAGAGCGAGGCGGAGCAGTTCCTCTCCACGGGCTGCAGAAGCGAAATGCTTGATGGGAAACGACTCGCTGGTATCTCGAGCTGAGCGCTCATTGGTGGTTTTTACCCCATGCTGGTGATGAAACTCTCCAATTGGCTCCGCAAAAGTGTTTTAGTGTTTTGTGTCAGTTTTACGTCGCCACTTCTATTCCCATTTTTCATCATTGTTCCACAATGTTTATCATCATGAAATTAATATCTATATATTTTATACTATACTTGCACTGCTTACCGTTTTCATACTTTATATATCTTAGCATATTCATACACACTGTTCATACTGCTCTCAGGCTGCTGTGTATATATAGTGTATTCATACCCCTCACTGTTTATTCATCATTCAATTCATTCTATATTTTATTCTGTAGGTTGTGTACATTACTTTTCACTTTACTGCTTGTTGCACCTGGTTAGAAGCTAAACTGCATTTCGTTGTCTCAGTACCTGTAATCTGTGCAATAACAATAAAGTTGAATATAATCTTGAGCAGGAACAAATGTATTTACTTAGTACATATCTGACATTAACGATTAAACACATGTGTGCATTCTTTATAAATGCAAACCGAGTCAAGCCGACTCTGAGCTGTCCGACTTCAGGCGAGCTTTTTGAGACCTCCCCCGGCTGCAATCGGCTATTCTCGTCTATTTTCCAGGCAAGCCGCAGCTCATCTCAAACAAGCCTAATTACTAACCATCATGCAACGCACTAGCAAGACGGCAGTCGCAATTGCGCAGGTCTGCGTCGGTCTCGCTCATCTCAAACGAGCCTAATAGCTTAGACCTAACAGGTGGTTAATTGAATCTACCGATGTTGTCACATTGACATTAAAGGACATCGTGCATAGAAGACATAAGCGTGTGAAATAATTTTACAAGTTGCCAGCTTATTCGTGGTGAAATTAAAGTAATTGGACCCTGGTGTAGTTCGGATTTTAGCTGTAAACTTCTGCCGATTTAATCTCAGCTTCAAAAATCATCCTTCTGAAGAAAACAGTATCATAATCTTTTGTTTGAAAGCTTATTTTCTGAAATAATCAAAATTCCAATTGAGAAATCATATTGTCTTTTGTTGAGGGAACCAGTGTGAAGCTAACTTCCTGGTAAGCCTACAAACATATGCTATCTGCAGTGCGAAACCCCCACTGAAACTCTCAGGGTCTCACCTGTGTCATATCTTGTTTTTTTCTGCCATTGTCTTTGTGTTAAGATTTTAGTTTTATGGACTAAATATCTTTAGTATTTTGTCTCATCTCACTGAGTGTCTATCTGTTTGTGTATCTGTTATTCAGGACTCCAAGGCGTACTTCCACCTGCTCGAGCAGATTGCTCCAGACGGCACCCAAGAGGACGTTCCACGGATTGAGATCGACATGAGTGGTGTTTATGTAAGTTGTTGAGCCATTCGTTTTATGTAATATGCAAGTTTTCGTCTTAAAGAAGCAAAGTCTAATACTGTATGTATGTTAATTAATGTATCTTTTATATTTTATTTAGTCTTTAATTACTCAGATATTAGGAGAAACAAACATGCCACAGAAAGTGTTTTACAATGTTACGATGTCTAACCCTAACTCTAACTCAAATGGATGTCATGCATGCCAAATGCCAGTTTACCCAACCCAATATACTGTACATGTGTGTGTGTCTCCAGGAGAAGGACCTCAGTAAGAGAGCGGAGTGTATGCTGAAACAGGCCGACCGCCTCGGCTGCAGACAGTTTGTGACGGCAACTGATGTCGTGAGCGGGAACTCAAAGCTCAACATGGCCTTCGTAGCCACGCTCTTCAACAAACACCCGGCTCTCACCAAACCAGAGAACCAGGAATGGAATCTGGAGGGTAAGCATGGACGATAATCTCCCTCGCACTGATACATTACTCACGTTCAATCCATGGAGGTGTAAAGAGAACTGGACTCAGCTTGGAGGCGGGGCATCGTTCATGCCTTTGAAGTTTCTCAGTGGCGCATGAAGCCTAAATGGCCTGACTTGAGAACATTAATCCTGATCATCCAGGGTTTTGGGCCCATAATGCACCTCATTTTCGCTAAGCCTCGCCTCCAATCGCTTCATCACTAGGCCCAGTCAAATCAATGGAGAGGGAAAATAACTCTAATAATTTATATAAATAAGGGCTGACAAGGGGTTGTTTAATAAAAACAATTATATATATGCTGATTTACACACATCTCTTTCCCAATTTAAGTCAATGGGAAAAGCCAAGCCCTCAGAAAGCTAATTTTTGTATTAGCCAAACCGTGGTACTACAACTTCCGTGATTTCGTTGGGCCTAAAAATAAGTTTTGCCATTGACTTACATTGGGAAAGAGACGTCTGTAAATCAGTGTATAATTGATACTGCGTATTGGAGGTGAGGTTTAAGCAAATCACAAGTGCGCATGCTCTATGGGCCCCAACACAGTTACTATTGCTCTCTTGATTCAGGCCATTTTGGCTTCATGCGCCACTGAGAAACTTTCTTAGGATTCACCAGGGTCCCGCCTCCAACACTGTATCCAGTTCTCTTTATACATCCATGGCTCCTTCATGCAGTAAATATAACTTCCTGTGCAGCCCTGAGTCTGAGTCTTATATCATCTCTGAAGGTGAGACCAGAGAGGAGAGAACCTTCAGGAACTGGATGAACTCTCTGGGAGTGAATCCTCATGTCCACCATATCTACGGGTCAGTACCCCTCTGTGTGAAGGGACTTTAGCTTTGTGTTGACTGTCACTGTTTAAATGCATGCATGTGTGTTATAATGCAGGGATCTGATGGATGCCATGGTGATCCTCCAGCTTTATGAAAGGATTAAGGTGCCAGTGGATTGGGACAGAGTCAACTTGCCTCCATTCAAGGGAGTAGGAGGAGGACATTTAAAGAAGGTACACGTACATACTACCTTCAAACTCCTACTGAAGTCAGGATACAATTAAATGAAGTATGAATGATTCATCCTCAAAATGTATTATTAAAGTGAATGTATCATACATGTTTACAGATATTGTATAACTTGTATGATTAGGGAAGTCTCGATAAAAAAAAAAGGTTGATATTAATAATATTGAAAATCCACAGTTCTCGATACGTTAAAAAAACAAAACAATATATCCCATGTGCTTCAAACTAAAATCCTTTATTTTTGTTTGCATACTGTTTTTTTATTTTGTAGTTAAATATCTCTAATATCTATTTTATTTTGTTGAAAAAGGTTCTCCTCTAAAGATTACAATTGTACACGTCATGATAATGTTTTGATTAACCTTCACCGAGTATCAACTTTAACTGGAGAGAGCTTGAACGCACCTTTACGTAATCTAATGAAACCTCTGTTCACCAGCTGCTAACAGCTAATGCTAACTTAATCACAATCAGGAAAAAGTCTGTCTTTCGAGTGCAATCCTAAAAATTGTATTTCTACCATCCCGGGACAACATCTTATCCCTCACATTAGCTTAGAAAAAACAGTCCAGAGTAGGTTCGAAGTTTCCGTCCTCTTGACTTCCCTTGTGAACCAACAATGTAAACAAGGGTTAGAGTCAATACATTAAAAACGATTCAGATCTAATTAAATATGGTTATGTTCCAATTACATATTATGGTTGGGACTGGGAGGTTCAAATACCCTAAGTTACTCTAAAGCAGTAGCCACTACATAAAGTGTGTCTGATATAATTTTGAAAAGGTGATATAGTCATTTTTCTAAACGTGTGTGTGTGTGTGTGTGTGTGTGTGTGTGTGTGTGTGTGTGTGTGTGTGTGTGTGTGTGTGTGTGTGTGTGTGTGTGTGTGTCCAACAGAGGGAAAACTGTGCCTATGCTGTGGAGCTGGGAAAGACGAAGGCTGGTTTCTCTCTGGTGGGAATTGGAGGACAGGACCTGTACGATGGCAATCCAACTCTCACTCTGGCTCTGGTGTGGCAGCTGATGAGGAGGTGATTTAATCTCTCAACAGTGAAACTTCACTTTTTCACGTGCTTATTGACATTATTTTTAGAAAATCACCAGAAACTAGAAAAAAAAACACTTTCAGACTCTAAAGATTTGAGTTGCTATACAGGCTGAAGCAGGTAGAGGGCGCTGAAAGGCTATCATTTCCAACATGTTAATTCCTTTTAGTGATGCCATAGAGAAAACAACCTCACTCAGAAATACTCCGCTTTGTGATAGAAAGCAATCGGGTTTATGGAAAAATGTAGCATTGATTTTGTACGATTTTTTGTTAGGTTACCAGCCAAAATGAGTTTCTCCTTCTACATCAGTTACAGCTAGATATTATCAAATGTTGTACTGTAATAAAGTCCCTAACTATTTCAGTAAATGATTTTACCCCAAGCTCCATACTTCACCAAAAGTATGATTTGATTTGATTGCTGATATTCTAACGTATGCTCTTATAATCCCTGCAGGTACACGTTAAATGTTCTGGAGGACCTGGGAGAAGGAGAAGTAGCGGGAGATGAGTTGATCATTTCATGGGTCAACAAGACGCTGGCTGAGGCCGGCAAGAGTTCCTCTATCAAAAGCTTTAGGGTCAGTTTGACTTTAATATCTACTGTAGCCCTTCTTAGGGTAAATTTGGCTTATAATAAGTCCGAAGTAAACAGTCAAGCTAGAACACATTCACAGACCCTTTAGCATTCTTTTCTATCACACTTTAGATCCAAAGTCCTGGCTTGAAAATTGTAAAATTATAGTTCAATTTTTTCCACCAGAGTAATCAGGTCTGTCACGTTTGCAATGCTTCTTTCTTTGGTTTCTACTAGTGTTAATGCTACTGTATTATGTGTTTGATGTAATGCATCACAACCTGATCATTGACATGTCAGAGACTGTGAAAAAACACAGCTCTTTGTTTACCAAAAATAATGAAATTGTTCACAGTTTTATTTTAAAGAAGCAGTAGTGCTCTGTTAACAGCCTAGTTGTTTTGAGTGTATTTGTCATTATGTAGAGTATACAAGTGTGACGTGTGTGTGTGTGTGTGTGTGTGTGTGTGTGTGTGTGTGTGTGTGTGTGTGTGTGTGTGTGTGTGTGTGTGTGTGTGTGTGTGTGTGTGTGTGTGTGTGTGTGTGTGTGTGTGTGTGTAGGATAAATCCATTGGTACCAGCATGCCGGTTCTGGAACTGATCGATGCCATCCAGCCGTCCAGTGTGAACTTTGAACTGGTTCAAACAGGAACTCTGTCAGAGGAAGACCAACTCAACAACGCCAAGTAACCGCCGCCTGCTTTCCTCTGACTGTGGCTGGGTTTAAGCTTCACATTAGATCTGTGAAAAAACCTTCAGCCTGCAGTGGGATATTATTTAGTGCTTACTATGTATGGATAAAATAAAACATAGGGAAAAAAAAAAAAATATATATCTGTGCTCAGGATTTTTGAAATACTCAAAATAAAAATATCTTAGCTTAAAGAAGTGATTATTAAATGATAGGTCCAAAACACAGAAAAAAGGCTAGATTGAAACACAATTTCCCAGATATTTTCATTTTTATATTGTTGTGTCTCATTTCCATTATATAAAGGTGATTAAAACATATATAATTATTGATGTGTATTCACAGATATAAAACCGATAATATAAACTATATAAGATTGTATTTTGCGATTGGAACACTATCAAAAATATGTTAACTATAAAGAGAAACAAACATTTAAAATAATATAAAATAAAAAAAATTACCCAAATAAAAAATGATGTATAGGAGAGAAACGAGTCAGAAGTCAGCACTCTTTTTACTTTTCAGTGGCTATAACTTTGAAAGCTCACATGGTACATCTAACATGCATTTGCTGCAAATACAAGTAGCAAGATAATACAATGAATGTCACAGCTATAATTTGTTGCCATAGCGATCCTAACTATGACCCTTTCCTGCACCAGGTATGCCGTTTCCATGGCGAGGAAGATTGGAGCTAAAGTGTACGCCCTGCCTGACGACCTGGTGGAGATCAACCAGAAAATGGTGATGACCATCTTCGCCTGCCTGATGGGGCGAGGCATGAAGAGGGCTTAAACCACACACACACACACACACACACACACACACACACACACACACACACACACACACACACACACACACACACACACACACACACACACACACACACACACACACACACACACACACACACACACACACACACACACACACACACACACACACACACACACACACACACACACACACACACACACACACACACACACACACACACACACACACACACACACACACACACACACACACACACACACACACACACATTTTGCTTGTGTGACTGGATTAGACATGAAGAGATGAGTTGTGTTGTTTAGTTTTTTAAAGCGGTTATTCTGCATTAAGCCAAAATAGAAGTATCACTTTAGTCGTCTTTTGTGAATTCCGTTGTCAATAATCAATAATGACACCTGTGTATGTTGACACAAACAATAATGATCATGTTTGGGCTCCAAAGGACTTTCAATTTTCAAAATGGTTGCGGAATTTTGCAGAAAGGTGAGACTTCTATAACAGCTACCTGGTAAATATGAGTTTTTTATGAATCTCAGTTTTGCTTTAACTGATTAGTAGTGCCACATTAAAGGAGTACTGCTCATAGTTATGAACATAATTGTGAATGTGTTTGTCTAGACTGGGTCTGCCCAGTGCATTCTGGGAGGGACTCCTGCCCCGCTATGACTCTGTTGAGGGGTAATTCTGTCCATGAAATAAATGAATACATTAAGGTTTTTTTTGTTATGCAAAGGCAGTGTCACATGGGGATTTTAAGACAATAATCACTTAGACCTCGCAGCCCTGTACATTATTTTATTTGTTTCTCCTATTAATGTTATTTCTTAAACTGTACTGACAGGACTAACATTTCCCCGGCTGCATTGCCTTTAATCTCCCCATGTGTCACACCTCATGATCGTCCTGCTGTATCTCCAAATGTGCCAGCCAAACCACCAAATGAGCATTAAATGAACCTAAGCCATAAAATGATATTCCTTACTGAATACCTTTTGGCCTTTTTTGTATACTCCCAAAGCTGTGCAGGATAATATGAAGTGCAATGTTTTCACACTGGAAGATCTTTAACTCAGTATATTATGAAACAACAAATCCGGGGGTATTAAATTGTTTAAAAAAATGCATAAGAACCCTTAAAATTGCATTATTTGCACCTTTAAAATTCCCTTAAAACACAACCCTAAAACAGTTGATTTGATAATTAGTGAGAATTTATTTTCTACATTGTGGACATTGCATTTCTAACTTGTCAAAGCTGCTACTGCTAAATATGAACTCAATACAAGACATTATAACAGAAGAGAACATCTACATTTCCATGAGCTGTTAAAACTGGTCCATGTTTAAAATGTCAGGGAACATGTGTTTGTTGCTGACAAATATTGTTGTCCTAATGTCGCGGGTCCATTTGTGGATATGTTAAAAAGTGATCCAGGTTTGATGCTGCTGATGTTCACATTCCACTTTTGTTCAGTTTTTTCTTGTATACATTTTCGATTGGCCCTCTGGAAAGCCACTGTTGGCATAAATGTTGCTTCACATGATAGCAATACTTTTAATACTCAGTGTGTTTGAACATCTCGATTATGTTCAATAAAATAATTGTTCCATACATGTTTGTTCATTTTTGTCACTGTTTGTCTTGAGGGCGACTTGATAATTCAATATTAGAGTTATAATGGACTGTAGATTTACTTCAAAGTATACCATAATTAAAAAATGTTTTTACAATTTACAGATTAATCCAGAACTTCTCAATTAGAGAGAATGAGAATTGCCTCAGCCAATGTTTTTCAAAACAGAGTATTTTACATACATGTACTTCAAAATCTCCACTACAATCTGCCTTACCTTTTTTGCTATACACCAATGTATGTGGTAAATATGGGCTGCTAGGCAGAATCAGCCCGCTGTGCTGAGCAGCAACAGAGACGGATCGGCTGGGTTGATAAGGGAAAGAAGGCTGTTGCCATGTCAACACTGTGGCTGATATGACATAATGATGGTGGTGTGGATATTAGCAGTCTTAAGAGGCAGCTGTTGAGTTTAAGGGATGTGTCCTGGCTCTAATCCACCAATTATTTGTGCCATTCAATCTTAAACCCAGATCCAGGCTTTTTCTACCAAGATCTGGCCTTTTCTACCCAGATGTGTTCTTATTCTACCAAGATCTAGTCTTATTCTTCCAAGATCTGACATTATCGTTTACATTTTACCAACATCCATTCTAATTCCTCCAAGATGCTGTCGTCTTCTACCCAGATCTATTATTTGTCAACCAAAATCTTGCTTTTTCTACATAAATACTGTCCTATTCTTACAAGATCCTATATTTTCGAGAAAAAAAAAAACTCTTCCTCTTTCCATGTAGATACAGTCTTATTCTAACAATATATAGTCTTATTTTACCAAGATCCAGTCTAATTCTACTAAGATATGACCTCTTTAACCCAAATATGGTCTTTATTTTACCAAGATCCATTCTAATTCCTCCAAGTTACAGTTGTCTTCCACCCAGATCTAGTATTTTTCTACCAATATACGACCCTTTTTACCCAGATACAGTGTTATTATATCCAGATTTGTCCTTATTTCTCAGGGATGCAGATGTTTTCTATCCAGATCTGGCCCTATTCTACCAAGATCCAGTCTTTTTTTTTATCAATATGTTTATTGATTTTCAGCATACAAAAAAATCACATACATAGGACGAAGACATAGAGCCAAAAGCAATACATACATATACACAGGACAACTACATTACATTAAAGAAAAAATAACAACACTAAATTAAATTGGTACATACAACAAGGGCACTTTAATACATCGCAACCATCCAGTTTTCCAGCAATAGGACCCTATTTCTGCAGAGGCTATCACAGTAATTTACATTTTAACATATTATAACATATTATCCTGCCCCATGTTCGTTCAGAAATTGAGATAGGTCGTTGTTCTTGGTATAATGTATAAAACGTCCCCAGACCTTCTGGAACAGTTCTTGTTTGTCTTTGAGAATGTAAGTGATTTTTTCTAAAGGCAGACATAAAGAAAGTTCCCTAAACCACTGTGCAATACTAGGTTTACCCAACTTTTTCCATGTTAAGGCAATCACTCTTTTTGCTTGTAATAAACAGATATCTATACAAACTTGTTCATAACGCTGTATGTTATGTCCATCCGGATATAGGCCAAGTACGAACATTTTTGGTTCCAGCTTTAAGCTGATCAATAAAATATTCTGTACTGTTACCCTAATCTCTTCCCAGAATTCCTTTATTCTTGGACATACTCATAGACAATGGAACAATGTGCCTTTTTCTTCCCCACATCTGGTGCACGTGTCTGGGATATTAGCATTAAATGTATTCAGTTTTTTTCTGGTGTAATATACACTTTCATTAGCCAATTGTATTGCAGAAGCTTTAGACGCGTATTACCCATCTGTGTTTGGGGCACCTTACAAGCTGTGCTCCACTGTTCCAATGTTAGATCTTCCTGTAAGTCAGTTTTCCAGGCATTAAGTCTAGAGTTCGAGGATTCTGGGGAGAACGCCAGCAGGAGATCATAGAATTCAGATATGATGCCCTTCCCAAAGGGTTTTTTAATTAAAACTGTATCCAATATAGACAGAGGAGGGGCCAGCATGAGTCGATCCTGATTCGCTCCAACAAAGCTCCTGAGTTGCAGATATTTTAAAAAAATGCTTACGAGGGATATCGTATTTACTGAAAGTTCCTCAAATGATAAAAAAGTTCCCATTATAACTTCCTAACATGTCTTTTAACTGTCCCACCCCCTTTTCAGCCCATAGTCTAAAACCCCATCGGCATTCCCTGGCGCAAAACGAGAAGAAGGTTCGTTCATATATTTTTGAACCTCCTGCCAGACACCAATCATATTTTTAACTATAGGTGTAGTTTTTTTTAAGGTTTTTAGGGTTATCAGAATATAGATAAGTGGGAAGTGGGAGCTTTAAGGAGCAAGACTCAACATCCCTCCACGCCTGAGGCCTCTCCTCTGCAATGTAAAATGTTTGGCTGTAAAATTACAGTAAATTACTGGCTACTTGTTGCATGGAATTCACAGTAATTGACTGTAAATATTTCACAGTAATTTACTGTAGATATTTTACAGTTAATTCGAATAAAAGTACGACTAAATACTGTGACTTTACAGTTGCCATGCCCATGGAATTACTGTGATATAGCAGTACAGAGCTGTGGTATTATGGTACCTTGCTGTACATAAATTACAGTAATTAATTGTATTTTCACACTTTTACTGTAGAAGTAATGCAACACAGTAGCCAGTAATTTACTGTAAATATAAAAATGTAAATAATACAATATTATATTGTAAATCTGACTAGTTAACTGGGATTTTACCATAACTACACAATTCAATCAGCTCAACCAACAAAGAAAAACAAAGAAAATGCCCATTTTAACTTTGTATTACTCCATTGAAGTGCAAAGTGCATTTCACAGTGTCTTGGACATGTTGTTACAGCCCCAACCTCTACTCCGCGATAGTGGCTCGTGCTGAGATCCACAACATGAAAGAATACACGCAATAACCGGTACTTGGTAACGAGCATTTATTAATAATCAGCCGTTTGCTCACACAAGCGAAATGGGAAACAAAAAGAGGTCTGGAGGACTGGCCAAAAGGAACAAACAGAAGGAGGGAACCCGAGCCAGCCACACCACGGGCCGTAGGACCCAGAGCTTCCCCCCCCCCCCGACCAGAAATCAATTATGAATATATATATATATATATCAATTTCGTTAGCCGCGAAAACTGGACTACCAGGTCCTCCAGGCTAAACATAATCACATCTGCAAAAATATGGCCTACAGCTCAAAATGGCAAAGAGGTAAGGAGAGTGTCTCCCGGCGTTAGGATAGGCGAGACATCCTTCTCCTCCAGCTTCTCTTTATATATACACGGCTGAGTGGAATTTGGAACACCTGGGCAGAGGCGGAGCCAGGGGCAGACCAGGTGCACCTGGGCAGAGGCGGAGCCAGGGGCAGACCAGGTGCACCTGCGCAGCAGGGAGACAGAAAAGAAAACAAGGAGGGGAGCACATGTCTACACAGATATCCACTCGAAGTCAACAATTTTCTGAAGAATGTGCTGACATGGGGGTTTAAATTGCCATGCCTCTTTTTGGCTTTCGAGCCCGTCTTGGGGTTAATGCCCAGGAAGCACCTGAAAACAATAAGCCAAGACACCAATTTCAATTTTACATAGATTTATATGTTGCATAGTTTATTTTAAGGCACATGCAGCGGTGCCACTTTCAATTTAAGTAAAACCTGCACCAAAGAAATAAATTAGTATTTAAAGCCAAGCAAGAGCGGTAAAAGCAAGAAAATCACATAATTTGTTGTGTTATCACAGAGGATGGTCTGAATACAGTAATGTACTGTGAAATAATACAGTAACATGTTGTGAAATCCTGGTAATCATTGATCCTGTACATTCACAGTAATTAACTGTGCCTGCATTGATTTCACTGTGAAATTCAAAATTACAGTATTATATTGTGAACATCACAGGTAAAGACTGTAAAGTGGTAAAACAGTAATTTATTGTAAAATATTACGGCTAAATATTGTGAAATCATGGTAATATTTTACAGTGTGTGTAATAAAACATCAATGTTCTCAGCTGAGCTGCCCAGTAGTACCACAACATGTTAGGGAACTGTAATCCTCCTCTATCATAAGGCAAGTACAAGAGAGACAAACGGAGCCTGGAGCGTCTGTTATTCCATATACAATTAGTAAACATTTTCTTCATTCTAGTAAAAAAAGCTGGTGGGGGTGGCAGGGGGATATTTTTGAAACTAATATAACAGCTTGGGGAGAACAACTATCTACAGATTTGGAAATAGACGCTATAGTCGGATTAGAGTTCACAATATCTTCCAATTTGGGAACAATCTGAATACCCAAATAAGTAAAAGTATTTACTGTTCTAAAATGGCCAGCATGTTTGGGTAGGTTAGACTTTTCCTCCGAGTTAAGGAGCATTATGGAGGATTTTGAATGATTTACTTTGTATGGTTAAACCCTTTAATCAGATCCATAAGGGCCGGTATAGAATTCTCCAGATTTCTAAGGAAGAGAATCACGTCATCAGCGTAAAGAGCTATTCGATAGTCAAACCCTCTCACATTTATGTCTGTAATCATTGTGTGCTCTCTCACAGCAATAGCAAATGGTTCAATTTGCGATTAAAAATAGAAGGGGGGATAGAGGACAACCTTGTCTACAGCCCCTACTGATCCTTATCGGCTTTGATATGATATTATTGGTAATTATTTCTGCATACATATAAAAGTTTTACCCAATTACAAAAATTCTCCCCAAAACCAAAACGGTCAAGAAGTTCAAACAAATAGGACCATTGCACCCTGTCAAAAGCTTTCACAGCATCTAATGCCAAGAGAGCTGTATCTGGCGCCCCCCTTTGGTCATGTAAAATGTTCAAAACCCGTCTCACATTGTGAAATCCCTGACGGTGACGCATGGTTGCGGTCGGATAATCCAAAAATCAGCTCCTAACGTTTAACCCATAACCCTATCGTCTATTCCTTGACCTCT